GTCTGCTAAAGAGACTGGAACAGTCTTGCAGTGTGTCGAGATCTGTGAGGGAGGGAGCCAAGCCCTTAAACAGCACAGAACTGGGGTAGGTGTCCACGAGAGCTCACCTTACCTGAAGTGTACGTGTAGCCATGTCCAGATATATGGCCTCAGGTCATTCTCCCAAAACACCTTGTGGATTCCAGGCCTTGAGTAAACCTTTTTCTCCTCCGCTGATCAAGTTTCAGTTGTCAAGCGGGAGAGCCTTTGAGGGAAATAGAAGGGAACGGGGTACTGGCCACTCCAGTATGCGGCCGAGTTGCCTCCACTCTTCAGAAGCTGTACAAGCCAGAGGCAGGTTTGCAGAGGTTGATCTGGAAAAGGGGGAGAGGGGAGCGTGTCTTCAGGGGTGAGAGGTCGGGACAGCATGGGGACCACCCCAGCAGGTGACAAGGGCTCTGACATTTTAGACCACCCCGCCAGGCACCCATGGAAGCCGTCATGTACATTTGGTTCCCAGCCTCAAGGGCAGGCAAGCTTTGTGCCTTGGTCTCTCTGCGCCTCCCCCCACACTCCGCTCCACTGTGCACCCCTGCCAGGTGGTGGCTGGACACGTGCCTCTGCCCAAGAGCCCACAGTGGAGGCTGAATTCACCTGCCTGCTGAGTTTCCATACCCTGACCTGTAAGCTCACATCCAGCTTCAAGTCTCTGTCCCCTGCCTGACTCTGCCAGGAATACCTTCCTCTCTTATCCTGGGCCTCGCTGTGCCCCGTTAGGAATGTTCCCCTTCCCTCTTTCCAAGTACAGCTCTTGGGCTGAAGAGATGGCTCTACGGTAAAGAGTGCTTGCTGGAGTGCTGTAGCCGGGTTGGTGGCACACACCTTTGACCCCAGCACTCAGGAGGCAGAGGCGGGTGAGTTCAAGGCTAGCCTGGGCTACAGAGCGAGTTCCAGAATAGCCAGGGCTGTTAACACAGAGAAACCCTGTCTCGAAAAAACAAAACAAAACAAAACAAGAGTGCTTTCTGTTCTTCTAGAGGACCTGAGTTAGGTCCCTAGCATCCAGGTCAGAGGGCTCAGAACTACCTGTAACTCCAGATTTAGGGGATCTGGCACCCTTTTCTGGCCTCTACAGGCACCTGCACACACGTAGGATATGCTCACACACATACACAAACACATAAATCAAATAAACAAATACAACAAAGCTCTGGGACTTTTGTTTGTTTGTTTTTGCAGATCCAGTGTAACCCTGCCGCCCCTACAAATCTTCCTCTGAGCCTTGGTTCCACAAGCTAACTACCATATCTTTTTCTTTTCTTCCTTTCGTTTTTTGTTTGTTCAGTTGGTTGGTTTGGTTTGTTTTCTCAACATAGTTTTTCTGTGTGGTCCTGGCTGTCCGGGAACTTGTTCTGTAGACCAGGCTGGCCTCAAACTCAGAGATCCGCCTGCCTCTGCCTCCCAGGTTCTGGGATTAAAGAAATGCACTAGCACACCCAGCTTCTTTTTCCTTTTTAAAATATATTAGTTAGGGGTGTGTGTGTGTGTGTGTGTGTGTGTGTACCGCAGTGTACATAAAGGGGTCAGAGGTCAACCTCAGGTATTAGTCTTCACCTTTCACCTTACTTTTAAAGACAGGTTCTCTCATGATTCTAAATGCTTCCTTCTCTGTCCCTATCGTACTGTAGGAGCACTGAGGTTACAGACACATGGGATACTGCACCTGGCTTTTCTGTTTGGTTGGTTGTTTTTGTTTTTTTCGACAGGGTTTCTCTGTAGCCCTGGCTGTCCTTGAAGATCTGCCTGCCTCTGCCTCCCACGTGCTGGCATTAAAGCCGTGTGCCACAATGCCTGGTTGCACCTGGCTTTTACGTGGATTCCGAGGATTCAGACACAGGTCTCCCTGATTGCACGGTAAGTACTTTACCTTCTGAACCATCTTCCCAACCCCCCATGTTCCTTTTCCCGTGACTCTATCTTGTCTCCTCTTCCCATGGGCGAAGAGTCAAAGCCTGTATTCCCTCCTTGTGGCCTTCCAAGTAGATGTTCTCCACAGTGAGGTGGCTCTTGTACCCAGTCTTTGAGTGTATATGTTTCATCCATGCTTGCACCTAGATACATGTGTGTGGCCTCAGGAAAAGGAACCTCGGACCTACAGCACCATGTTCTGTGTGTGACTGTGAGTCTGCGTGTGTGTGTGTGTGTGTGTGTGTGTGTGTGTGTGTGTGTGTGTGTATGACTATGGATTGAACCCAGGGCTACGTGCATGCTAAGCACATGCTGTCACTGAACTACATCCAAGATCTTGGTTACACTCTTGATGGATTTGTCTCAGCTCCCTGATAGCGGCAGTGAAAAGCGGTGGTATCCAGGCGGTAAGAGAAGAGGGGAAGCTGGGCACAGGGTACATGGAGGTTCTCAGATGCCAAGATAACTCCAACGGTGGGGAGCTCCCACGATGGAAGCCAGGTCCTGGAGAAGGGTGAGTGGGCGCAGAGGTGCTGAGGCCCTGCCTTGCCGCCTGTATTTGTGTGCTGAGTTCACACAGGTAGCTGTGCGTTATCCAACCCTGGTAATGGAGCCCCTGACTTTTCACCATAGCTCAGGAGTCCCCCACGAGTACCGTGTGGTACTCACAGGGCTGCAGGAAGGCAAAGCCACATTTTGGGCACTTTCCTAGGTCCTGGGCAGGAGGATCTCTGTTAACCCCAGGCAGGTCAAGTTCTTCATTAGCAAACATCAGTATGTAATTCTCATTAACTCCAGGGGAGAGTTCAACCTGGATTGGCAGCTAGGATACACAGTGTAGACATTCTGTCACAGGAAGTTCTCCCATATGTCTAACCTAAATCCTTCCTGCCACCATTGAAGCCCATTTCCTCTTATTCTGACTGTGCTGGGAGAAAAGGATCGCTGGCCACTGGCCTCTGCTTTAGACCCATCACCTACTTGACCATGGCAGTCAGTTCTCTCCTTAGCTTTCTCCAGGGAACTGTGACCTCTTAGCTCAAGCAGCTGTTCAGAGTTGGCACCTGTCCCCAGTCTCTTTCTCTCTATGTGAGAAATATGCGACAGTACTTCCTGGTTCAGGCCTAACCCTTCCTTCCAGGAGACCATGGGGCACTAGGGCTGAGTAAGCCCCACTCTTAGGCTCCTGCTGGTAGACAAATACAGGGGTGTGGCTCTATCCCCTGCCTGTTGCTTGTCCTGGGTGGCAGCTGGGATCAGAGATCATTCGGAGAAATGAGAGGGCAGAGTTGCTTCTAAGAGACGAGTTGTGCATTCTTGGGAGAAAGTGTGGGGCACAAAAGTACCCAGGGACTTCCGGGGGTTGGGGAAGGATGGGTCTGCAAGCTAAGGGAAGCCTGAAGCATTAAGGAGGGCTGTGAAGACAGAGAAAACCCTGATAGCTTTGCCCTGGGACAGGCCACAGGGAAAAGTAAGCCTGTAGAGAGGACCATAGAGGTCATCCTGGTGTGGGTAGAGTAGAGCCTGGGGAGGGTAGAGGTCATCCTGGGGAGGGCAGAGAGCCTGGCATGGGTAGAGGTCATTTTGGGGAGGATAGAGGTCATCCTGGGGAGGGTAGAGGCCATCCTGGGGATGGTAGAGGAGAGCTTGGGGAGGGTAGAGGTCTTCCTGGGGAGGGTAGAGGTCATCTTGGGGAGGGTAGAGGTCATCCTGGGGAGGGTAGAGGGTGAACAGATGAAGCAGCTTCTTTGAAAAAGACTAACCTCAAGATAAGGAAGCCAGGCCAAGAGGATGCCTTTTGCCGCCACCCCCACTGCCACATTCTTTAGCCCAGGTTATCTTTGGATGAAATGACTGCGTGGACACAGAAAAACACATATCAGAAGGTCTCCAGACTGACCTGTGTTTTTTTGGTTTGAGATTTTTAGATTTTTGTTTAGTTTTGTTTTTTTGAGAGTTTCTCTGTACAAGAGCCCTGGCTGAGCCAGGTGGAGAGATGCACACCTTTGATCCCAGCACTCAGGAAGATCTCTGTGAGTTCAAGGCCAGCCTGGTCTACAAAGTGAGTCCAGTCCCAGACAGCCAAGAGAAATCCTATCTCGGGGAGGGACTGGTTTTCCTGGAACTTGGTTTGTAAAGCAGGCTGGTCTCGAACTCATAGAGAGAGAGAGAGAGATCTGCCTGCCTCTGTCTCCTGATTTTATTTTTATTTTTCAAGTGTGTTTGTGTGTGTGCCGTGCGTAGGTGCCTCAGGAAGTTAGAAGAGGGAGTCAGATATCCTGGATCTGGAGTTACCAATGATTGTGAGCTGCCTGAACGGATGCCGGCAACCAAACTAGGATTCTCCAGAAGACCAGAGAGCGCTGTCTAATTCAGAATGGCCTTGAACTCCTGATTCTCCTGCTTCTGCCTCCATGTGCTGGAATTACGCTACTTCCAGTTGAGCCTGGGGTCTCTCTGTAAGGTAGTCCAGAGCCTTCCCTCCGGTCCTGAGGCCTCCCTGCTCATTGGTGGAGTACAGACAGGAAGGAACTGGGGAAGGGGGAACCAGGGCTCTGGGCAACTTGCCATGGAGGCTGCCCTAAGCCCCAGCCTTCTCTGTGGCTGGAAATACCCACTGTGTGGTTCCTGGCCCTAGCTTTCCAGGCATCTCCTGGCTTTGGCAGATGTGGCAGAGGCAGCTGCCGGGTCACCGTCAAGCTGGCCCTTGCCACCAGGCTTATCTTGGTTCAGCAGCTGCCAAGTCTATGCCCCGCTCCACCTCTTTCCTCCTTTCTTCTTAACTAGCACCCAAGAGGCTGGAGGAAAGCTTCCCACTCACCATGCACAGCTTAAAAGTAGCTTCTAGATTCTTTGGCGTCTCCTGTCAGGTCTACTGTCTCTGCAGGCCCTAGATGCTCTTATTGACCTCAGTTCCAGGCCCCATGTGCTCTGGGGGGGCCAAGGAAGGAAACAGTATGAAACTACTCCAGGCCCTAGGTGCCAGGGACCCCAGAAGAGGAGGTGGGAGGCCTTCCTGGCCTTGGGAGAAACCCAAGCAGTACTCCACCATGCCCAGTGGTCCTGCCCACTCGGGGACCCTTTTATTTGGCATATGTTAGGTCATCGGGCGTGAGCAATCAGCCCGTGAAAAGTGAACCCAGGAGGTATGCTCTCATGGGAGCATGAGGAGAGCTGGGCCTGAGGGGCTGCCCCTCTAAGTGACCAGGTGCCTTCAGGGACGACTCTTCTTTGGAGGGTTGTCTGGGTGGGACCGTTTTCTCGGGAAGGCCAAAGCGTGGGCGGCTATTCCCCAGGTTGTTCAGTCAAGAACCTTATCACACACCGTCTACAAAGGGTCTGGAAAACTTGACTTTTCCACACTTTGCTTTTTCCCCTCCTTCTGCTCCTCTTCCCTTGGGAGTGTGTCTGTCTTTTGTCTTCTTTACCTGCGAAACTCATTTGTGCCCTGCCCCGAGAACGGCCTCTGGTTGTCTTCGTGTTGCCTAGAGGGAAAGAAAGGAACCAAGTTATTGTTTGAGTCTTGCAAATACCGAGTGGAATACAGGCCTTCACTCTCCCAGGTCGCTATTATTATCGCATCGCACAGATGAAAGAGCAGGTGTTGTCGTCGTCGTGGTTAAGTTTCAAGCCCAGGACCACGTGGCCCGGCCCCAGGCATACTCATTCCCCAGACTAAGAGGAGAATGCGCTGGGACCCCAGGCCTCCTCAGCGCTGGGCCCTACTCCTCTTCAACCTTCAGAACCCATTGTGATTTAGAAAACCATCAGTTCCTGCATCCTGTTCCTTCCTTGAAGCTCCCAGCCAGTCTTCGAGGCCAATGCTAAGTCATCATCTTCCTCTCTCCTCCCTCAGCCTCGGGCCTATTCTCCTGGGAATCCACTCTGACCCCGGGGGCCAAAAAAAAAAAAAAAAAACCTCGAAGTACGCAGTTTCGCAGTTTTCTCGCAGGGGCAGTAGGGAAAAGTGCGCCGCGCCGCGGGGGCCCTGCCGGCCGAGCGGGAATCCAGTTCCTAACCGCTGGCTCCCCTCGAAGGGAGGGGAGAGGGCGGAGGTGCTTCTGCGGCGGCATCTGGCCGAGGCGGGCGGGAAGCTGCTGCATTAAATTGTAAAAATCGATTTATTGACCGGCAGGTGCGAGCGGCGGCAGATGGAGAGCAGCGCTGCCCGGGCGCATCTGCGGGGGAGCGGCGGCATCGATCCTGGGCCCCCTCGGAAACCGTTCGTCCCGGGCCTTTCCGTCGGTTCCCTCCTCGACGCGGGGCCAAGGTCCGAGGATCCTTGGCGCCTGGGTGGCTGGGGTAGTTCGGTTCCCTTCCCCGACCCCCACCCCCCACCTCCTGGCTCAGGACCCGAGCCGGGCTCCCCGCCCCCCCACACGGCTGGCAAGGCCTGCCAGCCCCACTGCCCCAGTTGGCACGCGGCGGGGCCAGGCTGACGCGTGGCAGCGCCCTGCGGCAGATGAGGCACGCGCCCGGCCTCATTTCAATGTGAATGGGCCGAGCGGAGCGGCCATGTGGCAGCAACAGTTTGCAAATCTCCCCGCCTTCTGTGCGGCTCCCCGGGCCGCGGCTCCCAGCACGTGGCCCCTGCTCCGCGCCCGCCGCGGCGGGGTCTCTCCAGGCTTAAGCGCCCCGCCCCACCCCGCCTCCGCCCGGCTGCGGCGTGCCGGGGGGGGGGGGGGCGCACCGCTGTCCCCCGGGCACGGCGGCGGGCCGGAGGAGGTCTCCGGGCTGGCGGCCCCGGGGAGCCCGTAGGCTGGGAAGGAGGCCCGAGGTCGCACCCCGGGAACCCGCGGCCGGTTTGGGGACAACTTTGACGTGTTTCAGTTCCGGGGGCGGGGGCGGGGTGCAGGTTCTTCATAAGGAGAGAAGCCAAGACGTGGCCACCAGGAGGGCGCAGCAGGGGCACAAGTCTTCTGGGGAGAAGGAAAGGCTTTGCCCGTCTCCCCCGCTGCTCGGCCTTCGGCGCTGGGGAGGGTCTGAGGGTGCCCTGGGGGGGGGGGGGCGAGGAGCTGTGGGCCCAAGAAAGGGCCGCAGTTTATGGGAACCCAGCACGGTCAGGCTTGGGGAGTCTGTGGAGCTGGCCCTGACTAGTGGCCATGTCGTTAGCAGTGGCCTGCTCTCCTCCTACAACCGTCCTGTTCTTCGAGCATCCAGAAGGGTGTTGCTTTTCTTCCACCGGAGTCTTTGGCTCCTAATGACCCAGCGCAAGCGAAGGGCTCCAGCTGTGAGCCCTTCGTGCCTAGCAATGTGGGTAAAGACTGATCCCAGCCAATGGGAACTCTAGCGGAGACCCGAGGCTAAGGGTAGTGTCCTGGCCAGGAATAAACAAACAAACAAAACAACAACAACAACACACCCCTTTCCTTCCTAGGTCAGAAATTGCTTAGGCGGATGGATGGCTGACACACATTGTCCATTTCTGAGGAAAAGGATGATCCCGACTTCTGTTTGGTCCTTGACTCTTTGCCAAATATTTTGGCACATTAACGTGTATGAGGGTAGAACGCTTCCAAGAGTAATGGATACTCCTCGTGGAAGTGGATGTCTCCCTGGAGACTCGGGCAAGCGCCAGCGTCGGGAAGAGTTTCTATGGACTCCCCAGGCTAGGATTTGGGGATGGAAACTAGGGAGAGCGGGAGCACCCTCTGGCATTCTAGGAGGGTCTGCAGACACACAGAGGATGCAGAGACGGAGGATCTGGAAGTCCAGAACCGCCGGGAGGTACGCCCCGAGCTCCCCCCTCCCTCGGGCCTGGGACTCTGCTTGCCCATAACCTACATTAACTCGGTAGTGCAGCCTGGGCCCATCTGCCGGGCCCCCCGCCCCGCATCGGTTCCCCACGCCAACCCGCTCGCGCCAGATGGTGGCTGGGAGGGGTGGACGTGCGTGGGGGACCCCGGAGCCTGTCTCCTCACCTCACCCCACCCCCACCCCACCCCACCCCACCCTCCATCACCACCACCCGAGTCAAAAAATCAGACCACGTTCGTCACTGGCAGCTGTTGGGCTCCTCTTCCCCTACCACGAGCCTCCCTGGGGCTGGAGCCGCGTCCCCGCCCCCCCCACCCCCGCCGCAGCCCCCGCCAGCACTGATCTTATCGTCCGACGACAGCCAGCTATCACCACGCGGGCGGGCTGACAGCTGAAGCCACAGGGCCCCCACAGCCCTCAGTGGGAGCAGAGAGAGAGAGAGACGAGTTCTCCAGCACCCCCGAGACCGGGAGAAGGCAGCGCCCCCCCCCCCCCCGCCGCCGGCCCCCGGGGGGCCGGGGGGGGGGCGGGGCGGGCAGCTGCCTCCCCCCCCCCCCCGAGCGGGGGGGGGGCCCCCCCCCCCCCCCCCCGGTCTGCGGCCTCCGGGGAGCACGGCGGGGTGCCGGGAAGGCAGCTGCAGGCCCTGCGCGCTCCGAGGCCACCCGGGAGAGGCGCGCGCGCGTGCGACCTGGGCGAAGCCGCCCGAAACTCAAACAACCCCGCGCGCCTCCAGTCCCACACCCTACATCCTGCCGCTGCGCCCAGAGACCTGGGCCCGCTCGGCCTCGGGCTCTCCCACCTTGCCTCTCCGGTGGCCCCCGAGGACACGCCGGAGCCGGGAGAGTTGGCTCCCTTACCCCGGCGGAGCTAGGGGACGCGGGTAGGGGCCGGGACGCGCGACCCAGGTGAGAGAGGCACCGAGGGGAAAGGCCAGGGCTTCATTACCATACAGCTGAGGACGCGCCCCCCTCTCCGAGGACCACGCCCCCCCAGGAGGGAGTGGGGGTGGGGGGAAGAGAGGGAGAGGGAGAGAGAGAGAGAGAGAGAGAGAGAGAGAGAGAGAGAAGGCACGCGCTGGGCACGCCCCGCTGCTGGGGAGCGACACGCCTACCAGGTGCGCAGGAGAGGACTAGAGTCTCGGACGCTTGGCCCTCTGCCTCGCTTGGAACGGCCACGGAGAGGTTAAAACGCGTCCGGCGGCTTCCCCGCGGTGCTGGGGACGCGTGGGGAGCGGGACGCGCGTAGGCTGCAGGCCAGCGAGGCCCGAGCCACCACCGCCAGCCCCGGGGAGGCAAAAAAAAAAAAAAAAAAAAAGGAGCTCCGAGTGCCCTGGCGCTGGCTTTTTCGCTCTCCCAGTTTTGAAGTTCTGTTTCCCCCCACCACCACCACCTTGGAGCAGAGGCAAAGCCTTCGGGGACCCCTGAGAGGTGGCACGGCCTTCGGGGACGCTCCCCTCCCCCCCCGCCTCCCCCCGAGAGTTTCCGACCCCGTCCCCACCCGGGAACCACCTCACCTCCCGCCGCGTCACTTGGGGCTCCTAATCCTCCCGCGGGCGGGCGAGGGGGCTCGGCCTTTAAGCGCACGCTCTCCGAGGGCTGCTCGGCCCCGGGCACGCGCAGAGCGGGGAGCCCAGGGGTTGGGAGAGGGGCGGGGACGTGCGCCCTACTGGCTGGTTGACCGGGGGAGCGGCGGGGGCGGAGGCCCCCTCGGGTGGGTGCTGGGAGGCCCTGGAGCCTCCGGAGGCCCGGAGGGGAGGGGAGAGCGGCCGCGAGCCCGCCTGACTGACAGGCCGCCGAGAGGAGCCCATATATATAAGAAAGGCTCCCGGGCCAGCAGGTTTCAGTAGCGGCGCTGCTCGCCGGCCGGGAAGCCGAGGCGGAGAGCCGCTCGGGCGCGGTGGAACCCCCCCGACGCCAGCCCGCTCCGGGCCCTGGGATTTGCCCGAGGACGCGTACTCCGAGCAGCCGCCGCCCAGCCGCCCTCACCTGGATTACCTACCGACGAGGCATCGGGCTGCCGGGAAGGCGACCGGAGGGAGAGGAAATCAGCTTTGCAGGAACCCTGCCTGGCCGGAGGGCGACCGCTCCCCCACCCCCCCAGCAGGCGGATTCGGAGTCCCCACCACCACCACCCCCGAGCGCAGAGGACACCCCGAGGGATGACGCCCGCGCCCCGGAGCGCCTGTCCCTGGGCGCTGCTGCTGCTGCTGCTGCTGGCGGTCTTGTGGCCGCAGGTAACGAACGTCCCGCGCCCTCTCCGCCCCCCTCCCGCGGCGCCCCGGGTTCGCGCCCCGGAGCCGGCGGAGCCTGACCTCGCCCTCCTCCCTCCTTCCCTCCGTCCCCCCGTGCCACACAGCGCGCCGCGGGCTCCGGCATCTTCCAGCTGCGGCTGCAGGAGTTCAGCAACGAGCGAGGGGTGCTGGCCAACGGGCGACCCTGCGAGGCCGGCTGCCGGACCTTCTTCCTCGTCTGCCTCAAGCACTACCAGGCAACCTTCTCGGAGGGACCCTGCACCTTCGGCAACATCTCCACGCCGGTGCTGGGCACCAACTCCTTCGTCGTCAGGGACGAGAGCAGCGGCGGCGGGCGCAACCCTCTCCAGCTGCCCTTCAATTTCACCTGGCCGGTAAGCCCAGCCTGCAGGCACCGGGGGACGGCCGAAGGCTATAGAGAAGGGACCGCCTCGACACGCCAGAGCCCCTTTCCCAGGCGCCCCGGGGACTCCCTCTCCCGCCGCCCCCGCCCCCACCCCGCCCTCTCGTGGGACCATCCGGGAGAGGGGCTTCACGCTAGCCCTTCTTCCAAGTTTCCTGCCCTTCCCTCCTCCCGGTTCTCGGGATGTCAGTGTCATGCCGGGTACCCCAGCGCCGCGCCTCCCTCCCATCCCGGGCTCTCGCTTTCCCTCCTGCATCCCTCATCCCTCCCCTGCCCGCTCGCCAGCGCACCGCACCGCGCGGGACACCAGTTAGGCTGACCCGAGCTCGGTAACCGTATCCTGCAATTAGATTAATTAAACGGGCCGCTGCGAGGCAACCCCCCCCCCCCCCCCCCCCGCCCCATACCGCTATCCCTCTGCCCCCCCCCCCCACCCCCCTTTTGCCTCCCCAGGGTACCTTCTCACTCAGCATCCAAGCTTGGCACGCCCCGGGAAACAACCTGCGGCCAGGTGAGTCTCTGGCTCCTCGGCCACACGGGGGCGCCATCGCGCAGCGCCGAAAGAGTTAAGCTGCTGGAGGCGGGGGAAACGCGGGCTTGGGGGTGGGGGCCGGGACGCTTAGCTTGGCCCGAGCTGCGCCCCGCGCTGGACGCTCCGATTCCGCTCGCTGCCTGGACTCAGAGCACAATTGCGTTTCCTGCGGGTTATTTTTGGCGTGGGAACGCGGGGAGCACGGCGGTGAGAAAGGCCGAGGCTGCCAGCGCCACTGACGGGCCCCTTCCTGTATTTTACACCTTTTGCGAATTCCGCTCCTTTGGAAAGGGAATAATGGCTTTGGGATGTTGTTCTGACACAGAGGAAAAGGATATTTCACCAGCACAACAATTCTCACTTTGAAAAGGAAAAAGAAAAACCATTACCTATCTCTAGAACAGAAACGACACCAAAGAACCCCTTGCTCCCCAGTCTCAAGCCAGAAAGCTTCCCTCCCTTTTGATTTTTTCCCCCCATTTTGACCTCTTTTCCTCTTTCCCCTCCGTATCTGCCTCCACAACCCTGGGATATCTTAACATCCGTCTATTGTAGCTTTTTTGAATGCTATCAAGCCCCCTGCACAGGCACACACCCAGGGAAGCCAAGTAGCAGGACTCTGGGACCCTCTGGCCTGTGCTTGCTGGCTGGCAGGTGAGGTTAATCGGATAAGTAGTTAGAGAGTTGTAGCAGGCCACCGTAGTCCCAGATAAGGAGACGACGGTGGGCGGCAGCAGTCTCGGGCTTTCTCAGTCAGGTTGCCCGTCTTTCTCTGACCCGACCTTCTCCCCGCAGAGCCTTCGTCAGGGAATGCGCTTATCAGCCAGATCACCATCCAGGGCCCCCTTGCTGTGGGTCAGAACTGGAAAACAGATGAGCAAAACAACAACCTCACGAGGCTGCGCTACTCCTACCGCGTCATCTGCAGCGACAACTACTACGGGGAGAGCTGCTCCCGCCTGTGCAAGAAGCGTAACGACCACTTTGGACACTACGTGTGCCAGCCAGATGGCAGCCTGTCCTGCCTGCCAGGCTGGACCGGGGAGTACTGTGACCAGCGTAAGCACCAGATCCCCACCAGGACGGGACGGGGGCGGGGGGGGCGGGGGGGGTGGTGTCTCTAGCCTTAGAGTCCGTGGTACCCCAACCTCATTTGGCTCTACTTTCTTTCCTTAGCAATATGTCTTTCTGGCTGTCATGAGCAGAACGGCTACTGCAGCAAGCCAGCAGAGTGCGTGTAAGTGGGGACAGGAAGCGAGAGTGTGTGTGTGTGTGGGGGGGTCTCCCTCCCTTGTAAGCAGGCCTCCCGCCTTATGCTCAGCTTCCCTTCTGTCTCACAGCTGCCGTCCGGGTTGGCAGGGCAGCCTCTGCGATGAGTGTATCCCCCACAATGGCTGTCGTCACGGCACCTGTAGCATCCCCTGGCAGTGTACCTGCAAGGAGGGCTGGGGAGGTCTGTTTTGTGACCAAGGTGAGTGAGGGAAGGAGAGACAGATGGGGTGGCCGGGCCTGATACTAGAGGCGGTGCTGGAGCCTCTCTCTTGGCAATTGAGAACTGGCTCCCCTATTATCATTAAGGACAAGGCTTAGGATTTGTATCTGGGCACATGTGTGGTACTAGGGGCGGAACTCGGCGTGTCACACATACTAAGCAAGCACTCGACCTGTGTGTGAGCTCAATCTTGGTGCCTTCAAAGGCTTTCTACCAACTGAGCTGCAGCGGGATGGCGGGACACGCTTCTCCACACACCGGAGAGCTGGGGTGACTAAAGAGGCCAAGGGGTGACAGCTTGGCAGCCTGGAGCTCGTGCTCATAAATTCTAGCGAGGCCAAAGAGAAAGGGAGGCCGAGCTCTGTTCCTCTTTCTGCCTTGTAGTTAGCTATTAACCCTCTTGAGTGTTTGCTCACCTTCCGAGGCTGTTTGAGCAGCTCTCCCCTAAACAGCTGTCTGGTGGGGTGTGCCCACTGGCTGCCCTGGGCTGTGGCCAACCTGGGCCTCTGGGTAGAGAGAACATCTAACTGCCTTTTTAGTGTGGGCACAGCCACCTGCCCTTCTGCAGCGGCACTTGCCAGGCAGCTGCCTGAGCTCACACAGTCTCTACCTGATACCCGAGGGGTTGGCACAGACTTGAGAGGGGGAACCTTTCCTTCTACATCCCAGGGGCCAGCTGCATCCTCCCATTTTCAGGCTCAAGCACTGTGCCTGCTGCCATGGAGAGACCACACAGGCCTAGAAAGGATGGGGAAGGGGGGTTGCCTAGAAAGGTCCTGACTTGCTGCCAGCATAGAATTCAGCGCTTGTCTGTGCACTCGCTCCTCTTCTCTCTCTTCTCCTCTCTGTGTGGCACACAGAATTCCTCTCTTTTTTTCTCCCCAACACACACACACACACACACACACACACACACACACACACACCTGGTTCCTTGCTCCTTCTTTCTCTGCCTTCCACTTTTGCTCCCAGGTGACACAGTCATATACTAGTTGTATGCAAACACAGCCCTCACTTGGTCCCTCTGTTTGCTTTGTCTGGCCCTCCCTCCTTGTTCTTCTCCAGTAAGAAAACAAACAGCTATCATCCAAAATACACTTTTAACACCTCCTGTAGAAAATGCCTAGTCCTGCCTGTGGAGGCTGTCATCTCCTTGCTCCTCTTCCCACCTGCTGAAATTTTCCTCCTTCTAGTCCTTTCAGGCTTGCGCCTCCTCCATGCAGCCTCTTCGGGCTTCCTCATTAGCTAGGGGCCTTGACTGCGCCCCCTTCTCCTCTTCATCCCGCTCTGGCTGGAAGTGTTGACCAGCAGGGCATTGACCGAACTGTGCTTTTGTTTTCAACTTTCGTTAAATTTGTACAGCTTATATTATAGTCTCGGGTGGCTTAACACTCAGGATTTCACTGGCAGAGAAGAGAGGGATGCGTGGGCCTGGAAAACTTAGAATTTGAAGCTTCTTTGAGCCAAATACAGGGAGAGCTTGCACGGAGCTGGGAGAGTTCCTGGTCCCACTCAGCCGGTTGCTTCCTGTCTCCACAGACCTCAATTACTGCACTCACCACTCCCCATGCAAGAATGGAGCAACGTGTTCCAACAGCGGGCAGCGGAGCTATACCTGCGCCTGCCGCCCCGGCTTCACCGGCGTGGACTGCGAGCTGGAGCTCAGCAAGTGTGACAGCAACCCCTGTCGGAACGGTGGCAGCTGTAAGGTAAGTCCCAAGCCAGCCCGCGAAGGCAGAGGCCTAACCAGGTAGCATCCAGCAGTCTTCGGCTGTGTGTCCACGGATAGACACTCTGGACAAGCAGAGTGGGGGTGCCCCAGCCCCACTCCTCGGGGTCTAACTTTAGTCTCTATGCTCTCTCCCCAGGACCAGAAGGATGGCTATTACTGCCTGTGTCCCCCAGGCTACTATGGCCAGCACTGTGAACATAGTACCTTGACCTGTGCGGACTCACCGTGCTTCAATGGCGGCTCCTGCCGGGAGCGCAACCAGGGGGCCAGTTACATCTGCGAATGTCCCCCCAGCTTCACTGGCTCCAACTGTGAGAAGAAAGTAGACAGGTGTACCAGCAACCCATGTGCCAATGGTAAGTCCTTTCTGCCACCTGACTGACCTGCTGCGCTGGCCCCTGAGAGGCTCAAGAGGAGCAGGAGACCTGTCTGCTACGCGGGCAGACTGACCGACGTGGGCTCCCATTTGCTTTTGGGGGTGAAAAGCTTGCATGGGGGGGGTTGGAGGAGCAGCAGGTCAGCAGCAGCCTTAGGTGGGGGTCGTGTCCATCCTGCAGGATGTCCATCCTTACTCCCGTGCCTGGGCCCTGGCCTGGGGAGGATAGCCTGCGACCCTCCTCAGGAAACCATGACTTAGAAAGAAGGACGTTAAAGGCTTCACGTCCCTTGTCAAGGGAGGCCAGCGACAGTTAGAGCTCTGTACCTCGAGGCCTCACCTTTCCCCACACTCACCTAGAATGAGTGTGCCTAAAGGAACCTGGAGTGGCCAGCACCCTTTGAGACACAGAACACATTGGCAATCTTCATGCATCTGGTGGCAGGCGCTCAGGAGCTGTCCAGGGCATGGGAGTGCCATGTAATCCGCTCCCCCTCAACTCTCTTGAGCCACAGTTTTCAAATCCCTGAACGGGAAGATGAAACTGTCTTTGGTGTGCTTGCAAAGATGAAGTTTAAACGGCAATTGCACCCACAAGAGCACTTCCTGTAGGTAGTCTGTACTGCTCTACCTGATCCTCATGAAAGGATCAAATTCTGCAGGTCAGCAGGTGAGGAAACCAAGGCTCAGGGATCAGGTACAGGTCGTCAGATCCCCTGCTAGAGAGAGCAAGTCAAGCATACCTGCCTTACCCTAAAATTCTGCAGGAAGCCCATAACTACGCTACAATAGCCCGAGGAAGCATGGAGAAACCGGGATCACCCCCAAACCCCAGGGCTTGGGAGTCTTTGCACAGTTCTCTTTTTACAGTCTGCTCTGTCCGTGCAGGCTGAACGCATGGAGGCAGAAGGGTCTAAGCTCCTGGAGGAAGCCCCATGCCCTTCACCTGGGAGTCCAGGCTCTCGCTGACTTGGGTCCTGTGTCCTTACAGGAGGCCAGTGCCTGAACAGAGGTCCGATCCGAACCTGCCGCTGCCGACCCGGATTCACAGGCGCCCACTGCGAACTCCACATCAGCGACTGTGCCCGAAGCCCCTGTGCCCATGGGGGCACTTGTCACGACCTGGAGACCGGGCCTGTGTGCACCTGCCCCGAGGGCTTTTCTGGCAGGCGCTGTGAGGTGCGGACGAGCCATGGTGCCTGTGCCTCAGGACCCTGCTTCAACGGGGCCACCTGCTACAGCAGCCTCTCCCCGAACAACTTCGTCTGCAACTGTCCTTACGGCTTTGTGGGCAGCCGCTGCGAGTTCCCCGTGGGGCTGCCGCCCAGCTTCCCCTGGGTCGCCGTCTCCCTGGGCGTGGGGCTGGTGGTACTGCTGGTGCTGCTGGGCATGGTGGCAGTGGCCGTGCGGCAGCTGCGGCTTCGGAGGCCCGATGACGGCAGCCGGGAGGCCATGAACAACCTGTCGGACTTCCAGAAGGACAACCTAATCCCCGCTGCCCAGCTCAAGAACACAAACCAGAAGAAGGAGCTGGAAGTGGACTGTGGCCTGGACAAGTCCAACTGTGGCAAACTGCAGAACCGCACGTTGGACTATAATCTGGCCCCAGGACTCCTGGGCCGGGGGACCATGCTTGGGAACTATCCTCACAGTGACAAGAGCTTAGGGGAGAAGGTGCCACTTCGGTTACACAGGTAAGCCACACCTGGAAGCCCGTGGCTTGGCCATGGACCCTTATGTAGTGTGGCTGGGTCCTCCAGGCTCAGTGGGAGACTGGCATCAGGCCCTGGCTGCTTTTAAGCAAGGAAGGTTGTGGTCCTGACAGCAAAATACCCGGGTTGCATTTCCGTAGGAAGCCAGGCACAGTGGCACCTCCTCGCATCCTTAACTACTTAGGCTGAGACAGGAGAATGGCCAAGTTGCATGCCAACCTGGCCAACACAGCAGCAGGTCACGGCTCAAAAACAAATCTGGGCTATTGAAATGGCTCAGAGGGCAAAGGCGCCTGCTGCCAAGACTGATGTCCGAATTTGATCCCCAGGACCCACAACTTAGAAGTTGTCCTCTGACTTCCGAAATTTGTGTGTGTGCATGCACACACACACACACACACACACACACACATAATCATTTTTAAGAATTCTTCTTAGGGGAGTCCCTCTCCCTCATTCAGCCCTCCATTCTTCACTCCCAAATACCAAGGGTTCACAGTGTATCTCTCGTGACTTCTATCTTTCCACCGTGCAGCTTGTCTCTAGTGGCAATACTGGCTTTTACGAGGCCCGTGACTTTTCCGGTTTGCTAGGGTTCTGTAGCTCTCTTAGGGGCCTATTCTAACTGCCTGCCCCTGAAGGCCAGCACTGGGCACTCCTAGCCCACGTCTTTCCCCTAGACCCCTGCAGCGATGCCCTATAACTGTCTGGGATCTAGATTAGCATCCGACTGCACTTCCAGGCTCCCCCCCCCCCCCCCCCCCCCCCCATGCTTACCTGCCCGTCTTCCCCCCGTCACCCCCCCCCCCCGGCCCCCCCCCCCCCCCCCGCTCCCTCATGCTTACCTGCCCGTCTTCCTCCAGTGAAAAGCCAGAGTGTCGAATATCAGCGATATGCTCTCCCAGGGACTCCGTGTACCAGTCAGTGTGTTTGATATCAGAAGAGAGGAACGAATGTGTCATTGCCACAGAGGTGAGTGCTGGGCTGGCTGCCCTTCCCTGTCAGCGTGCCCCCTCCTGCTCTGTGTGGATGGGGAAAAAAAAATGTCCTGGTCACTAGCAAACTCGTTCCTGAAGGGGTGGGTCAGAGATCTCTGCCTGGGTGTTTAGTGTCTCTTGGGTCCCCCGCTGGCCTCATGGCCACAGAGGGTGTGATACAGGAGCCAGGTGGTACTCGACTGAGCAGCTGCGCCAATAAAAGGGACAGAGTCAAGGAGTCTAGAGGTAGAGCTAGGAAGGACAGCCATGGTACCTGGCTGCCTTTCAGGAACTGTTTCCCGGTTGCCTTTCAGTGAAGTTGCCTGTGTCTGCCTGCACCTGCCTGTTTCTTCCTGTTGGCTTCTTCCATGATTCTCCCACATTAGTGCAAACTCCCAGACACTTAGGGCGAAGGACTGAGGGCACTGCCCCTCCCTCAGTGGCTTCACCCAGGGGGGCCCAGAGCATCCCTGGGGACAGCAGCTGCCCCCACCCAACATAACCATTTTCTCCTTCTGTATGTGCTCCCCAGGTATAAGGCACGGAGCCCACCCAGACACCCAGCTTCAGCCCAGCAGCTGGGCCTTCCTTCCGCATTGTTTACATTGCATCCTGGATGGGACGTCTTTAGTATGCACAGTGCTGCTCGAAGGAGGAAGAGGAGGAGGACGAGGAGGAAGGGGGAATGGCATAAACTGGACAGACTGTGAACCTGCCAAGAGTCGAACCGCCTCTGCCCAGCTTCAGGAGTCTGCCTGGCCTCGGATGGGCAGCCAGGGGAGCAGAGTTGAGGAACCAGAGGAGGACCATCATGGGAGCTGTTATCTGAGGTGCCACTTGGACTTGCTCTGCCAACCGTGGCCATCATGGGGCTCTTGACTGTTCTCCAGAGAGTGGCACTGGCCCTAAGCGATCTTGGAGCTGCTGTGACCCCCATGGGCATCTGTATTTCCAAAGTGCCTTTTGCCCAGACTCCATCATGACAGCTGGGCCCAAATGAGAAAAGAGAAGAGGCTTGCCAGGGACAGGCCTTGTGTAGGCAGGAAAGCCTTGGAGTTTGGCTTTCGGCGGGAGCTATCCTGCAGGTGAGGTGGGCACCGAGGGGAGAGATGCAGATCCTGCCTTCAACCACAGCATGTGAGGTGCCACCAAGCCTACACCCTCTGGGCAAAGTTGGTCCTCTCACTGGTTCTGGTGCCTCTGGGCTTGTGTGAACAGATGGGCTTAGGGCCTGCCCCTTTTGGCAGCCAGGGGTACAGGCCTAACTAGGGAGCACAGGACCCTTACGCTAAAATTCCAATAAGGGAGATGGGGTGCTGCTGTAGCTAGGCCCTTCCGTGCATCATGCCCATTTCTGCACCCATGAGCCTGGGCTCTACAAGTGCCCACTGCTGCCCCCAGACCACCTTTGAAGCCGATCTTCAGAAATCAATAATATGAGGTTTTTTTTGTTTTTGTTTTTTGGTGTTTTTTTTTTTTTTTTTTTTTTGTAGTTTATTTTGGAGTCTAGTATTTTGATAATTTAAGAATCAGAAGCACTGGCCTTTCTACATTTTATAACATTATTTTGTATATAATGTGTATTTATAATATGGAACAGATGTGTATAGGAATTTATTATTTCTTGGGTCCTGTCTTTGTCATAGAAGAATGGGAATCTTCTGCCTGCCTTCCTACCACAAATTTGAGGCCCCTTCTCTCCTTGCTGTTGAATGCCCTGCTGGGACCCCTAGGGCCTGTGCGTGCCTGGGTCTGGCATGTTGTGTGGAAGGCCTGGTGTCTCAGTCCGTTCTCTGGGGAACCTTGCCTCACCCACCTCAACCCCAGCCTAGGCCAGCCTTCCATGCCTGCTGACTTTGAGGCTGGGTGCCATAATTCCGCTGTGTGTCCCCACCCTTCCGTGAGGACAAACTTTCCCCTGACTGGAATCTCTCTCCCTTTTCCCCAAGCCTAAGAAGCAGTTATGGGTGCCTTGATTTTCTCCCATTGAGGAAGATTCTCTCATTACTTATTCAAAAGGACGCTCATATTTGATAATGAGTTAAGTCCCCTCGGGGTACTTCCTCCTGCCATGAGGGCACTTTGGTTGCAGTGACACCTGCCATTTTCCCAGGACCAGTGAGGAATGGATCTGGGATGGGGATGGATAGAAGAGTCGCCTTAGGTCCATGCCCTGGGGGATGGATGAGACTACAAGACGGAGAGGAATCAGCCTTCCCTGAGTCTGTTGCCCAGGCCGAGACACTAGCGAGGGGGTTTCCAGTCCACTCCATGCCCAGCTTCCTCTAAGGCACAGGATAGTCCCTGGGGGCATAGCCTCTCTCCAGCCCCAAACATACCCCATGGTGAGTAAATGGTGAAGAAAAACAAAAAGCAAAACCCACAAAAACAAAACAAGCCAACCCAAGCGAGTAAAAAGCTGTGCAGTCGCTCCCAGCCTGTTCACGGTAAAGCAAAACAGCCCCAACAGATGCCTTTCTGCTCTCGGAGTCCAACGCAGGAGGCAAACTTGCCCCTACTCCCAACTCCAGCATGGCGAATAGGATCTGGGCACTTTCTCAGTCCCAGGAGTGCGCACATGTCCCACGGCTTGGTCATCATTCCCTGTTGCTCTACTGCACACACAGAGTATCAAACAGGAAAACATTCAGGGAACCGTTCCCACAGCCTGAGCCGCCAGCAGGGGGAAGAACAACAGGACCTCACTCTTCCTGCCCAAAGTGAAACAGGAAAGCGGCTCCTAGGCTCTGGGGGGGTGGGGGAGACTGGGCTGGGACAGAAGGCGAGATGACGAGGCTCCCATGTGGGGCACAGGTAGGACACTTGCAGGCCTGCACGTCCACGCCACCAGCCTAGGCTACATTGCCAGATGCTCAAAGAGCCCTGGAGGGGTCCTGGCTGCCGGGCCATTTCCCACCTCTGATACCTTAGTCACGGAGCTGAGAGCTCCCAACACATCACCCTGGCTTTCTGGGGCAAGGGGGGATGGGTGGTAACGCTTGTGGGAGCTCCAACCTGCAGC